AAGCGATCGTTTTTTTCTATCTCCCTCGTTCTTATTTTTGTCTCAATGATCTCGCGCCTACAATGCATTCCCTAAGTCGCGTGATTTGCGGACTTCCCTCGTTCACGCGAAAGTCCTGGCAGTGTTGGCTCCGTAAGCGTACACTTGGTCGATTAAATTCGCGGATTGGCGATCGTTTTCTGAATACGAGAATGTCGTTAATACGAAGGATAGAACAGCAAGAATAATAATGAAGCTTGACAGTGCAGTACTGTATGCATAAAATGATTAAAGTCAAATTTTTAAATTGATAGCTTATCCGGGAGGAGAGAGAGAGAGAGAGAATTCTAGACGGAGAATTTTATATTCCAATGCTACCACTCAAGTTACTTTTTATCATCTTTTTTGAAAAATCATTAAAGTCACTACTGTCTAAAATGGATCATTATGGTTTCCTTTCTTTTTTGAGCATAAAATTCGTAAAGCATAAATATTCTACATGTTAAAAATGTCATGAAATTTAATGTACTTTTAAGTTACACAAATTAAATTCAATTTTATGACACTAAATTAAATTTAATGTATCTGCAACTGAAAAGTATATTTGTGTACATGTATATGAAATTTAATGTTTCATACAATTTTACGAAGTTTAGTACATTTTTTATCTGACAATTAGATGGTAACGCTAAATCCAAATTCATTCGTTCTATCTCGGTTCTCTATTTCTTTCAATAAGCAGAACTACGTATTTCATTTTCCCAAAGAGTTGAAGAACATGTATTGCATTTCTGTTATTTTCTACGAACATGTCTTTGTACTTCGATCTTCGAAATATAAAAGAAAAGAAAAAGATTGGCAGAAAGAAAAATGAAGAAAAATATCACCTTTCTGACACACAAAGTTAATGATATATTCCCGTGATATTGTTAAATTTATTGAAAGCTATCAAGATATTACTTTGAAATCTAAAAATAGTTGCTACCAGGTAATGGACTACAGTCAGAAAACGATATTTTTACAAGTCACAAACGACATTCTCGTAACAGAAATCATACACCACCGTGACTAAACGGAAAAATCAAAACTATAAAGTCCTGATGTTATTTTGCTGCAAAAGAAGCTTTTGTGGAAGACTAACGAGGTCTAACAAAGGATACATACATAAATGCAAACGCGAATACATATCGCGTTTACAAAAGGATTAAATGTTACAAATTAAAAAGAATCTAAATGCCAAAATTTGTAAAACGCAGTAAACTTGAAAATAATATATTTTATTTCTATAATGCACTCAATAAAGTATCCGATATTCGCGATTATAGGAAATGAAACTATTAAATTCTATTTTAAGACTGCGAATAAAGTTACCATTATCGTTGAATAAAAACAATAAGAATCTTATTGAACCATACATGTGAAAACACAAATAGGAAATAAAAGCCCATGACGATCGAAGCGGGGCATTATCGTTGAATGTTTAAGAATTATATGGGCTCTTTTTATAATTCTTTTGAACTATTATTCCCTTTGGCATCTAGACTTTTTAATTTGTTCAATTAGAAACTGCGTTTTCCTCGCAAATGCCACAATCAATATCAACATCAGTATTAGCATTGATAGCCATATCAAGCTCGATGAGGTCATTTATCGTCATCGTTACTATTACACGCGAGTGCCCATTACCCGCAATCGGATGATCTCGCCCATAAAATCCTGTCAACTTTTTTTTCCGCCCCGGAAAGAAGCACGATAAATAATTATCACAGTCTGAACTATACGTCTAATCCCTACTTGCGCCCTACTTGCGGTACACAGCTTACATGACTAATCTACACACGGCCGCAATTATACCTCATTATTTCCAAAATATTCAATTCGTCGCTAGGAGACTCGTTACATACGTATGTATATATGTATAGATATACAGAATGTTGTCGAATTCAGGTGTCGTGCGCTTTCTCTCAACTACAGACATTAGTTGAATAGAATATCCTAACAGTATTTTTTTGGATTGAAAAAACCGTAAATATTTAATGAATGAAATGACAGATGTCATTCAAACAAAAAACCAAATTTTCTCTTGAGCTTAAATTAAGTTTATATCATAAGTTTTTTGAATATAAGATATTTAATACTACATAAAAAATTGAAAAATGAGATATTTCACCAAGATAAATTGATATTTTAAATCCGTAGTGGATGGAACGTGCACGAGATCCGCGACCGATATATATATATACGTTCAAAAAATGCAACGCTATAGCGCGAGCGAACCACATCGCTCCTCCCTCGCGTCCGCAGAATGTACAATCGAAGATAAATTAATTACAATTGTTGTTTGAGTCCTCAACGCGGGGCTCAAATAGAAGAGGTTCAATCGATATATTCACACATTTTAATATTTTTGTCTTTGTACAAAAGAAGAAGCGCGTCTCTTATTGGTCTGGTAATAAAATAGTACCTCGACGGAGACTCTGCGCGCGGATCGACTCTCGAACGGAGAGGGCTCCTGCCACGCGAGTTCCTTGTTGCACATCAAGATCCACACGTATTTTTCTTTCCTTTTTCTTTCTTCTCAATTTTTATGCACCAATATGGTGTACGGTTTAGACACTCAGGCTCTAAATAATATCTAGCCGAGTTTTACCCGTTTTTGTCGGACAATATTCGCCCGGATTCGTCCCGAAACTAAAATTGGCCGCTCACCGTTTCTTATTCATCATTGAAGTCATTTTTGTACTGTCCAATTTTTGACCTCGAAAAACCGAAAACATATCAGTGTGCAAACGCATGTATTTAAAACGCACTTACAATCGCATCGCATTGTACACTTAAAATGCTTTATAGAGGCCGGCTGTTAATTTCGTTCACGGTGTCGTTTCAAAGAATTTAAGATTTAACAAAAAACCTACGAATACCGAGAGTCTTTACGTCTCGGCTATTTGCTGCGTTATCGCAAACGCGTCGCACCTTTAGTAAGTTTAAGCGCATGATCCTGAGAGTTCACCTTCATCATTCGTAAAACGCGGTCTATTGCAAACGCTAGGCACCCCGCGACACGCTTTCGACTCGCTTCGTCGTCATTCATCCTTAAGAGTTCACCAGAGAACGCGCGGCACGCCAACGACGTAATGAACAGGTCCTAAACGGTCTTAACGCATGTATGCGTTCGTTTTCACGCCATTACGCTCATGCTTCTCTCTCGTTCTTTCTGGTTCTCGCTTCACTGGGTCCCGCGGGTCGCCTTACTGTCAGGGTCTGACGAGAGGCTTACCTCCGTAGGGGGCGGGGTACTGTCCCGTCAACAAGGGATACCCGAGGCCCACGTGAGTGTGATGATGCGTGTGCACGTGTCTCTGTGGAGGCGGCGATCTGTTATCCTTGCCGAGGCTCCCACCGCTGGCATCCACCGCACCTTGTTGCTGCTGCTGACTACCTGGTTGACCCTGCTGCTTACCGGATGGCTGCTGACCTTGGCCCGGCGGTGGGCCCGGGCCTGCAACTGACGTAGGCGGACCGCTGGGGGGCCGGGCGGGGGTCGGACCTGCAGAGGATGGGCTGGCGGACGCTGCGGAAGTCTTGGGCGTCGGTGATTTAAGCGCGCGCTCCTGAAGCTCGTGTATCTTGTGCGCCGAGTAATACTGATTAGCGTGGTGTTGGAGCAAGTCCAGTGCTTTGCCGCCGGGTGGCCGACTAAGGTCCTCCGGCGCGTGATACCTAGGCAGCTGGTGAAGATAGGGGTTACTCGAATATGGACCGGGCACCAGCATGGGACTGAGGCCGCGGTAGACTGGGTGACCTGGATCGAATGGCAGCGCACCATAATGCTGTGGCTGCATATAACTGGGATGAATATAAGCGTACTGCGAGGTAGGCGGCGGCGGCGGTCCCTGAGTTTCCATCGTCGGCTTTACGCCCTCCTGCTTGCTCTTTGAGTCTTCGCTCTTTCCGAGATCCTGTGGTTTTTCCTGCTTCGGCTGATGCTTTGGACTGGGCGGTGGCGCCTTTGCTTGCTGATTCTGTTTGTTTGATTCCTCTTTTCTCCTTTGTTCACTCGGATACAGATAGTACCTCCTGTCATCTTGAACAGGTCCCGGAGGAGGCGGCGGCGGTGCCGCTCGTTGACTCTGCGAACTGTGATAAACGTGGTACGGACTCATCTGACTCTTCATCTCGATACTCTCCTTGAGTATTTGATGATTTTCGTGCTGTTTGTCTTTCAGACTCGGCTGTGGCTGTGGCTCCTGCTTAATCTTAGTCTTCTGTTCATGCGACTCCTGATCCTGCGACTGCTGACTCTGTTGCTGCTGTTGCGAAACCGGCTGCGGTGGCTGGTAGGCGTAGCCTGGCGGCATATAACCACCGTAACCGCCATAATAGTGCGGCTGCTGTTGCGGCTGCGGTACAGGTTGGCTCAGTTCTTTCTTCTCCTTTTCCGACACGACGCTCTGCAAGCTCGCCATCGAAGGCATCTGCGGTATGTTGAGCGGTTTTATCTCTTGCTTGGGCGTAAGATCGCTCGGCTTCTGATCCACCACCGGTTTGCTGTCCGGAACGTTGGACACCAGGTAAGGCGGTTGACCATAGTACTGATACATACTGAAATGCGCAGGCAGATGTGCTGGCACCGTGGCCTTGTTGTCTTTTTCTTGACTCTGTTTGGACTTGTCCACCGGTTCGGCCTCGAGCACTGGCGCTGCGTCATCCGATATGTCCGAGTAGGCCGGGCTTTGTACGTCATCGCGCGCCGAATCGACGATCGGCGCCTCGAGAGGCGATGGGTGCGGACTGCCACCGGGTGATTTTCGCGATTTTTTCTTGTAACTCTGCGGTTTGGGAGCGCGTGCATCCGCGCTCGTTTTGCTTTTGTCCTGCTCCGGCATCAGCGCAGCCGTAGGTTTCACCTTGAACTGTGGCATCTTCGCCGCAGCAGCGTGCAGCGACACCGCAGTTGGGTACTGTTGCAAGTGCGATTGCACGCCTTGACCTGGATGACCTGACGGTGGCGGTGCCGTCTGTAAACTCGCTGTCTGTTGCGACACTTGGTTTGCAAGATTCTGCAAACCCGCATGCTGACTGGCTATACTTTGTAGACTGGCCTGTTGCTGTAATCCAGACGCCTGCACCACATGGGCCTGCGCGGGCTGACCCAACTGAGCCGACAAGGGATGCTGCACTGATTGCAATTGATGCGCTGGCGGCAGCTGTTGTTGAACCGATGACTGCAGTTGTTGTTGTTGCTGCTGCTGTTGCTGCTGCTGCTGCTGCTGTTGCTGCTGACTGCTGACGCCAGGTTGTAGCTGCTGTTGAGGCGGTTGGCCGACTTGCTGCAACGATGGCTGCGGTTGTTGCAGAAGAGGATTCTGCGGTTGATGCGATTGTTGCATCTGAGACGGTTGCGGTGGCTGCGGGATGTTGAGGGGCTGGGGGATATTCGTACTTGGATGTGGCGAAGGCACGGGCCTGGGGGACTGACTGGGATGGGGACTGGGGCTTTGGGGGGGATTTGACGAGATTAAAGACGACTGGTTCTGTTGTTGCTGCTGCTGCTGTTGCTGTTGCTGCTGCACCGATTGCTGCTGCTGCTGCTGCTGCCTCGATGGCGCCGTAGAAGTGGGCGCCGGAAGATCGTCCTGGCCGAACCTGAGTACGCCCGGCTTGACAATGCTCTTGTCCGCGAGCACAGGCGTAGGCGGTTCTATGCTGGGCGATGGGACTCGTGGAGGCGGTGGCGGCGTTTCCGGTGGCAGTCCCGCTGCCGGTGGACTCGCCGCTCTCACCGGCGTGCCTTCGGGCTTGTCCACCGGCGACTTCACTGGCGTGGCAGGGCTTGGAGCTTCGATATTGCTCTCATCATTTTCCGACATACTGGTGATACCTTCCTTGGTGTCATCGTCGTCGGCGGAGCCATGCGCGTGGCTCTGGTGGTACTTGAGTCCGTTAATGTGTTTGTACTTTTTACTGCAGTTCGGCTCGGGACATTCGAGCAATACTGGACTAGCAGGTGGTGAACCGCTGGGTGGCGTCGGTGGCGGCGCCCGTCGCTTGTTCTTGTCCTGTTCCTCCTCGGGTCCGCGCGACTTCCGCTTCGCTGCCGGATCCGGTCGTGGCGGCACGAATGCCGCTGGGCTCGGACTAGCCGCAGGCGAACCCTGTGCGCCCCGACGACCCTTGCCGCCGTTGCGCAGTTTACTGTGCACGGAACTCCTCGTCTCCGTGAAATTGCTCAGGTCGTTGCCGGGAGTGGAGTTGGCCGCGGCGCGGCCGCGCTTACCGCGGCCCTTAGGCGTGCGGGCATCCAGATCGCTAGTTGGCGAGTCACAGAAACGTGGTGGCGCCCAGTCATGACGTGTGCAGTCCAACAATGTCCCGACGTACGTCTTACCCCTCCACGTAACATTTACCACTAGTACACCTGCAACAGAGACAAAATATTTTTATCATGATGATCGACAGAAGCGATTCCTTCAAGCCTCATAACTGTCTTATCTTTTGTACCTAATCCTATCTTTTATACCAAGTTTGATCTGCTTAGACTAGAGCTGTTTTAGACGTTTACTAGAACCTCGTAAAAAAAAATCTCTAAAAATTCCAAATATTTTTGTTCAAAATTCCAAGTAGAATTAGAGAATTTTTCAATTGTGATTGGATTATGCTTTTAGATCTAGAGGAACAGTCTCAACAAGAAAACTCTATCTTAACAAAGAAAACTACCAACGGTTGCAAAATGAACAATTTCTGCTGAAGGCGGTCATTTATCAGTAATTTCTGATTAAACAAAAACTTACGCATGTCACAACTTGGCGTAACGCTCAAAGCGATTCGGTTTTGAGTAAGAGAAATAAATGAAGAAAAAAGAAGGCGACGAGAATCTCGTGTTGGATAAAGAAATACGACTGTGTATATCGTTTTGCTGACGGAACAACGCGTAAAGGTACGGCGAAGGAAAAACCGGTCCTAAAATACGGCGGTTTTAACCCCCGGGGGCCCCTCGAGCAGTTTCATCGCGTAATAAGTTTCGTGGCAACCTGCAGACGAGCTAACTCGCGTCTGTTTCCTTCTTTTCCTCCTCACGGCTCTTCGTTCTTGCGCGATCAGCGCTGCTAATTGAAAATATCTCGCCTGTGCACGTGCAAGAAAACGCGACGTTTCGCAGGTGATCTCGACGATGATGCTGCAGGTGTTCCCGGCCGCGGAACTCCCGTGTTCCATACAAAGTGCGCGGCTAAATTACTTTCGCGTTCGTGTAATAGGGAGAGTCGGCGTAAATCGAATCGGCACCGCGGGGCGCCGCACCAGATTCAAATGTCAAAGCTTCAGGGAACGAACAACGTGATCTTCGAGTGAGCGAAAGGGATAATTTTACATTAACGTTGTTCTTGAGTTGCGTTTCCATTTGAAATGCTCGCTTTTAGAATTTCATTCTTGTTGTTTATCAAGTGTTAGATAAGAGCAAATAGTACTTGCGAGCGTTGTGAACGCCAAGTAGAATGTTGTTTCGCGTAGTGAAAGTATTAACTATAAAGCTAAAAAGAGAAAGAAGAAACGTCTTTTAAAACAATGAGACTGTTATGGGGATGCTGGAATCATCTGTAATACCGACGAAACGCGCATTTCGTACTTTTTCATTGGTTTTTTATTTTTTTTTTTATACAGAATAAAAAATCCTTCTCCAAAATAAAAGAAAAAAGCTGTAGGAAAATAAATAGCTGTGGGAAACCACAAACCCCCCCCTGTGTAAAAAACAAAAAAAAAAGTAAATTATAATTCCTGTTATCACGTAGGGTATCTTTTCACACGATATAAATGATTCCAAGTATCTATTCAAACAAAAAGTAGTTTCCCACATTTGAGTAATGTATAAGAATATAATGAGATCTTCAAATTATAATTTTGAAGCTTGCTGCAGTGAAGTAAATTAAACAAGTAAATCTGAATCTTGCATTCATGCGATATATAGGATACAGCAGAGCAAGAAATGTACGTAAAATTTTATTTAACGTTCTACTTGGTGTAAATTATGTTTTACTTTGGAATAAAAAAAATCTGTTTTGTCGACATCGATCAAATTCGATCGTCGCTCCAGCATTTCCCTTGAACATTGTTCTTGAAACGTTGTTCAGTACTTCGCATCGTGAAAGTATTAATTATAAAGTTTAAAAAAAAAAAAAAGAAACCTAGAGAGATCGCTCTTTTCAAACTAGATTAAATTCGAGAGAAAAGATATTTTAAATGCACAATATCAGGAGATGAAGCTGAGCCCATAGACAAGAACGAATTCTTTATTTTCATCGCTGGGATTAACTCTTTCTTTAGAAGGTGATTCTCTCCCCGATGGGGTATCGTTTAAAAATAGATACCTCTGGAATGAAAACGTCCGTGGGAGATCACCGAAACGAGCCTCGTCGTTTGCATCTGTGGAATGGCTCCCTGTTCGCGGACTCTGATCGTGAATCGAGAACCGAAAATAAAGGAACGAGTAGCGAGCCGCGTCCGGGGGGGGGGGGGAAATAGAGGCGTGCATAAAGAGAACAATAAAAACAGCGGAAGTTCCAAGACGACCGTAGTTCCTAAAAGCCACATGACACCGTGTTTCTTCTCCATCTGTCAGACACACGTCTCGCTCTTTTTCTCTCCTGTCTCGAGGGCGAGACAAGATGTCTCGTTGCTCCTTTCTTCACCCTGCGACGTGCCCCTTATTTCGCTCTGTTCCTCTTTTCCCTTCTTTCTCGCTACGCGACAGAAACCTCGGGGCATTTGGGTTGATTGAGTCGTCCCCTCGCGCATCGACGTCATTCCCATTTGCTGCGGAAGATAAACGTGTGGGCAAGCACCAGGGGATGATGATAAATCCGTGCATTTCACCCCCGTTATGCGCCTTTTCATCCCATCTATTTCCAAGCCTCGTTTCCCCTCAAACTAACGTTACTTCCTTTTATTTTTCTTCTTTCATGTGTACTTCTATGCGAGCCCTGACAATGGTCGAATGAGGGATAAATGACCAAACTACCCTCTGATAATTTGAAGAGACAATCAATTTCACGTCAATACACATTTCACTTTTAATAAGTAATTACTTTTAATAAATTTGGAACAAAACTATTACATAAAAAAACTAGTAAAAAAAAGAAATATATATATATATATATAT